CCCCCCCCCAAATTTTTACCTTCCCTGATTTAAACTGATTTTTTTAAATTTTCTTTTTATCCCGATTTCAACCCAGTTTTTATGTTTGGAAGATAAACTCCAACAAATTCCCAGAATTTTTTTTTTTTTTTTTTTAAATAAAAACTGAAAATGCAGAACGCTGTTTATATCTTAGTTAGTCTATGCAGGTGCATCTTGACCTTGCTTTCTGATCCCCTGAGGTAGTTCCCCCTATTAGGCTGAAGTCAGTCAGAAGGCAGGGTAAAGATCCCCCTGTATACACTAACTAAGGGGGAGGGGGTATGTATATGTATGTGTGTGTATAACTTATTTATTTTCTTATTTATGTGTTTCTCTTACCTACCTATTTAATTTAGTCTAGAAAGATGCATCTTGACCTTGCAGGGTCAGGATGCACCTGTATAGACTAATTAAATAAGGGGTGTTTGTGTGTCACACACACATTATTTATTTTCTTATTTATCCTATTTATATGCTTATCCTATCCACCTACCACCTACCTTATTTAGTTAGTCTATTAAGGTGCTTCTCAACCTTGTCTTCTGATGCCCTGATGTAATTCTCCCTGTCTTATTTACTTAGTCTATAAAGATGCATCTTGGCCTTGCCTTCTGAGGCCCTGACGTACTTCCGCCTGTTAGTCTGAAGTCAGTCAGAAGGCAGAGTCCAGATGCACCTGTGCAGACTAACTAAATAAGATATATTTAGTAAAGGTAATTAAATATATTATTTTGTTAATCTACAAAGGTGCGTCTGGACCCTGCCTTTGGGTACCTTGAGGCAGTTCCTCTTGTTAGTCTGAAGTCAGTCTGAAACCAGGGTTCAGATGCACTTATATTTAGTTAGTCTACAAAGGTGCATTGGGACCCTGCCTTCTACCATGATTGCCACAGATCTGTGATGTACAAAGAGCATGTGTGGGTACCCAATACAGTTAATGCCATGTGATTTACCCTGGCTCGGGCAGAGCAGTGCTAATGGGCACTGAGCAAGTGGGGCCCCGAGGGAGCAGATAGGTCATGCTTGCTGTGGAGAATTTGTGCAGTTTTTCCACAGGGTAATGTTAAGAAAAAGAAGGGAGATGTTGTCTGAGTAAGGCCATGCAGCAGGCACCGAGCCAGCTTCTGTTGAAGACCATGTGCTCTAGTAAACCTATTCTTTGTCTACAAAGCTGGGGCCTCATAGCTGCAACTGGATCCTTGGGCTCTCAGGGAATCCCCAGGACAAAGCACCAAGTGTCCCAAGGTTTGCCTCTTTATCCTGTTGCAGGAATGGGATTGTAATTCTGTCTCATTCCATATTATACAAGGGTGGGGGGGAATATATAACAAGAAATGACAGAGGGTTATATAGAGGTTCCTGCTTTCCAATGCTGTCAGAAAAGGTGGATGGAAAATGGTCTTATCCTAATGGTTCTCAACCAAAGTGTGGGGGTGACCCTGGGATGCTATGATATTTTTTTGAAGGGTGCAACAGGAAGTGTGAGGCGATAAGCAGTTAAAAGCAGGCTCCTTCCTTGTCTGCTCCTCCCTCCCACTGCCCTGCTTCTCTGCAAGGAACCTAAGCACTGTAATCAATAGATTTGTTGTTGAAATGAGGTGCCGCTCAGTTCACAAAAGTTATGCAGGAGTGGTTTAAAGACTAAGGAGGGGAGCCTTGAGTCTAAAAGGGTTGGAAACTCCATTATCCTGTGAAAAGTTTTATGGTCTCAAAAGATGTTGCTATTCTGCATCCAGATGAAGTCAAAATCTTCACAAAAATAGGAACTCTCAAAATTTCCCCCCACCATAAACTAATCACTCACTAATTCTGCTGGTAACCTGTGATGACAAAGACCAGAAGTTCATCTCCAGTCCCACTGATTCAGTGGTACTGACTAAATGTGACCAGGGGTTGAGGAAGCACACACAGTCTTCTGAACTCAAAGTAGCATCTAGTTGCTCCAATTCACAGAAGCAGGAGGGTGGCGAGTACACAAACATTTCTGCTTTTCCAAGGAAAAAAAAAAGCGCTCATTTGGATTACAATGAGATATGTCAAAAATTCTCATTCAGAATGGGAACAAGAGCTTTTCTGAGGAATTTGCCATGGAATAGAAATAGTAATCAGCTTTAACTACAGGGATACAGAGGGAAAAATATCTGCCTGATTCTGACCAGGTTTCCATCCTGGACCTGAAAAAACTCTCCACAAGGTTTCATTGCAATGACATATTGCCGCAAAAAGTCTCTTGTTTATGAATAGACATACAAAAAACTAGAGCTCTTGGTTCCAAAATGATACCTTTTATTGTGTTTATTTTATTATGTTTTATATGAATTGCACTTTCTGACTAAAAAAAAAAAAAAAGTTGTGTTGAAAATATTTTTATGCCCTACCCATCAATCTGAAGCAGTCTAACTTGAAAGGTGGTGTGCAGGGGCAGATCCAGGGTTTACCAAAGGTGGCACTCTGCTTCCCAATGTAGGGGGATGGGTGAGGCATGGCTGAGGCCTTCCGGCTGGCAGGGGACACTGGGGAGCCAGGCAAGAAATAAGTCCATGAAAAGAGTGGAGGCAGGGAGGGGAACCTGCCTGCTGCCACTGTCTCTGGCTGACTCAGGGTGGCAGTGGAGGGAGAGCCAGAGTTGCACCTGCCCCACTCCAGGCAGGGGCTGTGGGAAGCAGTTGTGCAGGGAACTTGGCTTACCTGGGGACAGGAGCAGCAGCTCGCATTCCTCTTTCCAGTGCTTGCTCCCTGCCCACCCATTCCCCTGCAGATGTTTGTGATGTTATGCCTGCATCAGCTGGGGATGCCAGGAAAAGGCGGGGGAGGGAAGGGGGCTTCTTCCAGTGCCTGCTCCCAGCCAGTGGGGACAGCTGGGGGGAGGGGATGGCAGGGAGCAGGTGAGGGCAATGGTTACATACAAATATTTTTTGAGAGAGAGAAAATTAGCCATTGTAACCAGTTTTCCCCCTCCATCTGTCTTGTTAGACTCCGGTGTCCCAGCAGACTCCCTGCCAACTCTTGAACTTCTGAGGTCTGGCATGCCAATGGAGTTGGCAGAAGTCCATACTTGTACACATGAATAACCCCTTTAGATTCAATGAGTGATTATTTGTAAGGCCTGATCCAAAACCCATAGACATCAACAAAATAA